AAGGGATTCCAAAAGGCCATTTTAGTCATGCTGCCCCTGTTCCCCCTCTGCTTACAGCACTTCAATGGCACCCCTTGCTTTTAGGGTAAAGTCAAAATTCCCATAACTTGTTTGCACATCCCTACCTAACCTGGTCCCCACTGCCAGCCTCATCTCACAACAGTTGCCTTCGCTTCTCAAGCTTCAGCCCCACCAGCCTTCTTTCAGCTCCCTTTATTCACTGTGCTTTCACTACCCACAGGGTCCGGGAATATTCTTCCCTTTCTTCCATATCTAAATCGCTAGGATTAAATTCCTAGAAGCTTCCATCTTCAGATAGAGGCTCAAAGGTCTTTCCTCAGGGAATGTTTCTTGACCTTCCTGAGTTGAATTCCTCCATTAGACCTTGGATGGCACCAGTTTAGCATGATTTTATATATTTGATTAATGTCTGTCTCCCCCACTAGATTTGTAAACTTTTGCTCACATAGAGGCACATTGATAAATGCTTATGTGAATAAGTTCACTAATAAGGAAATGATTATGTATTATATACTTCCTCACTATGGAATACTAAGCAGCTGCTAAAAAGAGATAGCTCTTTATACTAATATGAATGTCTATATTTTTAATTTATAACAGCACATTACAGAACAGTATGCATACTATTTTTAAAGCTTATATATGTATATCTTTATTTTTAAAAAATCTCTGTTTATGGGGGGTTGTGGGGGCTGTATTTAAAAAGGTTTGCAAGACTCAAGACTAACAACAAATTGCTTGCAGTACTTTCCCTGGAGAATGGAAATGAAAAAAGAAAGAGGAAAAATAGGATAACAATTTCTACTTATAAATTTCTGGGTTGTTTGACTTTTTCCAGTGACCATATGGTATTGTTGTAATTATTTTAACAGTGCCATTTTTAAAATGATGATGTAGTTCACCAAAGTTCAAGAAAATGACCGTTTTTAAATACAGAGAGAAAGAGGTGAAAAAGTCACTTTTTACATGATTCCTCAACAAGGATACAGTTCTAGAAACAAGTTAATTTCCAAGTCAGACCTTCAATCTACCAATAAGCTCTGATGAAGAAGCAAAATGGAAGAGAACAAATGGAAATGCCAGAATTCGTTTATTTAATTAGGTCTTCCCCTCACATCACTTTTACAAACAAAAGAGATTTGAAAAGTCATTGCTGGCCTGGCGCGGTGGCTCACACCTGTAATCCTAGCACTTTGGGAGGCTAGGATTGATCACTTGAGGTCAGGAGTTCAAGACCAGCCTGGCCAACGTGGTGAAACCCTGTCTCTACTAAAAATACAAAATTTATCCAGGCATGGTGGTGTGCACCTGTAGTCCCAGCTACTCAGGAGGCTGAGGCAGGAGAGTCTCTTGAACCCAGGAGGCGGAGGTTAAAGTGAGCTGCAATCATGCCACTGCACTCCAGCCTGGGTGACAGAGTGAGACTCCATCTCAAGAAAAGAAAAAAACAGTCATTGCTCCTTGATTCCTTTATATAAACTTGGAAAAAAAAATAAGAAAACGAAATAATAGAATGAATTTTTCTTAGTTTACTCCAATTGTTTTAAATTAAATACAATTGAATACATGAAGGCACTTCACTATCCTTTGCTTCTCAAATAACAGCCCTTATTATCTTTACCATAACTCAAATAGAAAAGGTCATTTTCTAAATTCACACAGATTACAGAGGAAGCAGCAGGGACAAATATACTGGTGGTGCATAAATAGGATTATTTCACAGCTAATGGCAGAAAACCTCATTTTGGTTTGGAGAGAAGTATGTGCAGGTGGAGAGACCCACAGTTACTGAAAAAGGGGAGGTGGGCGTGTGGGCATGATTCTTCCAGCAGCAGCCTACGAGGAAGAGCTGGGAAAAGTCTGTGAATATAGAATAAATACTGTCACTTGGAGCTGCATTGATTCTTTTTTCAGACTAACTAATGGCTCAGATGGTAGAATAACCAAACGATGACTAAAATATGACTCAAATGCTTTCAAATCAAATCACTCCAATGAAACAGGAACAGAGGCAAGCAGAGAACAGGTCATTAGGGGTTCTAACCAAAACTTGTTAAATCGGAAAAAACTCATTCTCCTAAATGACTGTCTCTTTCTATTTAAGTCATTTTGATGTTAGTGAACTGTGGACAATAGATCTTTATTATTTGTGACACCTACTGATCAGCTCTCAGCAGCGGAAAAGGCAGCTCCTGGCTGGGCTCATACACTTTTCCCAATCCTGATTTGTCTTCTCTCCCACGATCTATCCAGCGTGTCTTCAGTTATGCCAAAGGGTGTTAGAAAACTCTAAAATACGGCTCAAACTTTACTTTCTTAATATTTTTGAAAACCAACTTTCATTTAAATATAAAAGTAGTTCATATGAAGATGAAATGGGGTTGGGGGAAGGGAGGTGAGAAGAAGCCTATTATGAAATGGAATCACAGGGCATGAAGCTCCCGGAAGGCTGAAACACACCCGCTGAGATTCGGAAGAGGCGGCAGCAAGTGTGCTGGCCCTCATGGAGGCATCACGTGGCCCACAACACACACGTGGGTGATTTCCCTGACATCTTTCTCCTCCCCCTTCCTTCTGCTAATTCCTCCGTTTCAAATTCTTTCCTCAAATGTTAATCCTATTTTATCATTCTATTCTTCAAAAAACATATATTTTTTCCTAAACAAAGCCTCTTACCACATTTATTGGAAGCGGACTTCATCAAGAATAAGTGGAAGTACCCACATCTCCCTGTTGTGTCAGGTGCCTGTTTTTATCCTCGTGCCACCTCCTCCTTTCTGAGAATTATCACTCATGCAGTAGGAGGAATACAGCACAATGCTTAGCACCCAGCAAAAGTACAGGACCTCTCCCAACAAACCAGGACGCCGGCAGAGACTGGAGCTGACTCCAACCTAAGCTAGGCACGCTACACACACCCCCTGTTCTCCTCCCTGAATGGATTCACTTAGGAAAGAGGATAACATGATTTTTTTAAAACTTCTTTTATTATTGTAAGACATACATGAAATTTATCATTTTTACCATTTTTAAGAGTACACAGTTGAGCAGTACTAAGTACCTTCCCACTGTTGCACAACCATAACCATCACACACCTCCAAAACTTTCCATCTTCCCAAACGGAAACATTGTACCATTAAACAATAACTCTCCGTTCTCCCCTCCCACCTTGCAACCAACATTCTACATGTTGCACATTGAGTATCCTTTATCCAAAATTCTTGAGACCAGAAGTGTTTTAGACTTCAGATTTTTTCAGAGTTTGGAATATTCACATTATGCCAGTTGAGCATCCCAAATCCAAAAATCCAAAATCTGAAATGCTCCGATGAGCATTTTCTTTGAGCATCACGTCAGCATTCAAAAAGTTTCAGATTTTGGAGCGTTTCCCATTTCAGATTTTGGATGTCAACCTGTACTTTCTGTTTCTATGAATTTCACTATTCTAGGTACTTCATATAAGTGGAATCATATAGTATTTGTCCTTTTCTGTCTGGCTTATTTCACATATAATGTCTTCCAGGTTCATCATATTGTAGTACATGTCGGAATTTCATTCCTTTTTAAGGCTGAATAATATTCCATTATGTGTATACCACATTTTGTTTATCCATTCATCCATCGATAGACATTTGGGTGTTTCCAAAGCAACATATTCTTAATTTAATCCCGCATTTTAAAACTTACAGGTAATTTAAATTCAATTCAACTTACTGTTTACTAAGGGTAACTCACTATGGGAAGTACTGTGGGAAATACAAGAGTAAATCAGACATGGTGCCTGCTCTCAAGGAACTTATGATACATTGGGAAAAGAGAAGAGAAAGAAGTAGAAGTAACCAGCATTTGCTAATTGCTTGCCATATGCCAGGTGCTTTACCCAATCACTGCATGTATAACTCCCAATGACTCTCTAAGTTAGATATTGTAATACCTACTTTATATAGGGAGAAGAATGAAGGCACTGAGACCTTAAGTAACCACCTCCAAAGCTGGGATTTAAACTCATATCTTGGATTCAGAGGCCTGTGTTCACTCCACTACACATGTCGTTCCCTATGATTCAAGGCAGAATGCGACAAATCCTAGGGAAGCTACAGGAAGGTAGAAGAGGAAGAGAAGAGACTGCTCCTTGCCTGAGGGTAAAGGCACATGACAAAGGCAGGTCTTAGAGGTCAGGAAGGCTTATGTTTGACAGAGATGGAGGGTGGAAAAAATTGCACAACCAGGGAAAAATGAGGGAGGCAGGAAAGTTCAGTACATACTTAAGGCTGGAAAGTGGTGCGGGGAAAAATCACAGTCATAATGAAATGCTAGCTCAAGGGGTCTGAACTCCACCATCAGGCAATGGTGAGCCACTGTAGTTTTCTGAAATGGGCCATAGTCAGAGCTATGCTTCGGGAAGATCACCATGGCAATAATGCATCACAAGGATGGAGGGGGTGAGAGTAGTTTAAAGGTAGGAAAAGCAGTTAGAAGGTCACTGGTGATAGCAGTTCAGGCTTAATTAGTCAGAATGGAGAAGAGGATATGGACATGAGAGATATCTTAGAGGTGAGAACAACAGAACTCGGCAATCACTGCATTTCATAATGCATTGAGTAGACTGACCATACACCCTGGTTTGCCTGGGATATGTTTTCCTGATGTAATTACTAATGGCACCCTTTTACTCTCAAAAAGGTTTGGACAATAAACTATATAATCATACTAGTTAGGAGTTGATTCTGTTGTAACAGAATCAGAGGTGACTCCAAGATTTTAAACCTGGATTAGTAAGGAAAGTGGTAACACCTTTGGAAACACAGAAGGGAAATCAGGTTTTGGGGAAAGATGTGGAGTTTTGATCCGGACACGTTAACTTTGCTGCTCAGGCGAGGATTTATTTAACAGCGAGAAGCACCTTGCCCATGGATTTCCCCTGTTTCACATGAAGGAAGGCATCATTGACCTAAAACAAAATGCAAAAGAATGTGGTCAGATTTGCATATATGGATATTTCAACAAACATTTGATGCAGTATCAATTAATAAAATAACTAAAGTATTAAGATGCATCTCCAATGAACCATAAATAACTATGCAACACTAACTAGTTATCACAAATGCAAAGGAAAACAATAACACTGAAGAATAACCTCAGTATTTCTCTCTGTCTAAATGTATAATTATCAGTGTTGTCAGATAAATGCCAGATGGTAAAAAGCCCTAGGCCTGTCCATACGCCACTGTAATAGAGCTTTGTTTTCCAGCTTTTGAAAGAATAGAGCCACTGGCAGAAGAATCCGTATCTTTATGATTAATAATTTTTGTTTTTTATTAAAATTATCCTACTTCCTATGTAACTGAAATTGTAATCTATCTTGAATCTTTTTTAAGGAAGTACAAGGTTACAAAACATATATTTAAAAGCAGCTACAGTAATCAAGGCAGTGTGATATTGGTGAAAGAATAGACAAACAGATCAATGGAATAGAATAGAGAGCCCAAAAATAGACCCATACAAATACAGTTAACTGATCTTTGACAAAAGGGCAAAGCAATTCAGTGGAGACAGAACAGTCTCTCAACCAATGGTGCTGGAAAAACTGGATAGCCACATGCAAAAATATGAATCTAGATACAGACCTTATACTCTTCACAAAAACCACCTTAAAATGGATCATAGACCTTAAATGTAAAATGCAAAACTATAAAACTTCCAGAAGAAAATATAGGGAAAAATCTAGGTCACCTTGGTTTAGCAATGCGTTTTTAGATATAGCACCAAAAAAGCACAATCTATGAAAAAAAAAAATGGGTAAGTAGTCTTCATTAAAGTTAAAAACTTATGCTCTGCAAAAGACACTGTTAAAAGAATAAAAAGACAAGCCATAGTCTGGGAGAAAAATCTCTGCAAATACATATCTGATAAAGGACTTGTATCTAAAATATAAAATATACACAGAATTTTTAAAACTTAACAATAAAAAGCAGGCAAAAGATCTGAACAGACACTTCACCAAAGAAGATATACAGATGGCAAATAAGCATATCAAAAGATGCGCAACATCATATGTCACTAGGGAATTGCAAATTAAAACAACAATGAGATACCACTACATACCGACCAGAATGGCTAAAATCCAAAACACTAACAGCAAATGCTGGTGAGGATGTGGAACAACAGAAACTCCCATTTGCTGCTAGAGGGAATACAAAATGGTATAGCCACTTTGGAAAACAGTTTAGCAGTTTCTTACACAACTAAACATATCCTTACCATACAATCCAGCAATTTCACTCCTAGGTATTTACCCAAATGATCTGAAAACTTATGTCCATATAAAAACCTGTACATAAATGTTTATAGCACCTTTATTCACAATTGCCAAAACTTGGAAGCAACCAAAATGTCCTTCAATAGGTGAATGGAAAAACAACCAGTGGTACATCTATACAATGAAACATCATTCTGTGATAAGAAGAAATTATCTATCAAGCCAAGAAAAGACGTCGAGGAACCTCAAGTGCATATTTCTAAGTGAAAGGAGCCAGTGTGAAAAGGCTACATGCAGTCTAAATCCAACCATATGACATTCGGGAAAAAACAAAACTGCAGAGACAGTAAAAAGATCAGCGGCTGCCAGGGATTCAGGGACTGGGGGTAAAGATGACTATGTGGAGCCCAGAGGATTTTTTTAGAGCTGTGAAGCAATTAAATCTAGACAAAAAGCAATTAAATCTAGACAAAAGTGATAGTAGCATGACAAATGTGGAAGGAGACTTTTGCAAAGTCTCAAACTAACAACTAGCACTTTGCTGCTCAAAGGGTGGTTCAAGAACCCCAGTCTTCTGCATCATCTGGGAGCTTATAAGAAAAGCACAAGCTTGAGTCCCATCCTGTCTTTGTTGAATCATAATCTGAAACTTAACAAGATTCCCAGGTGGTTTGTATACACATCAAAATTTGAGAGTCACAGATTACACAAGGAACGTTTGCAACTTAGTAAGAAAAAGACAGGAAGGCCAGGCATGGTGCTTCATACCTGTAACCCCGGCATTTTAGGAGGCCACGTTGGGAGGATCACTTGAGACCAGGAATTGGAGACCAGCCTGGGCAACACAGGAAGACCCCATCTCTATTAAAAAGGTTTTTTTACTTAGCCAGGCAAGGTGGCACATGCCTATAGTCCCAGCTACTCAGGAGGCTGAGGTGGGAAGTCATTTGAATTTGGGAGGATTGCTTGAGGCCCAGAGGTAGGCTTCAGTGGACCATGATTGTGTCACTGCACTCCAGCCTAGGTGACAGAGCAAGACCTCATCTCAAAAAACAAGAACAAAACCCAAAGACAGGAAGCCAAATAGAAATCTACACAAAGAGCTTAAATTGCAATTCAAAGCACTAGAAACCTGAATGAATACCAAGTATATAAAGAGATACTTAAATGTATTAGAAATCAGAAAAATTCAAATTAAAATAGTAAAATGCCACTTTACACCTTATCAGTTTGGCAAAATTCTGAATGTTGGACATATCAACAGAGTGACAAATAAACAAGAATTCTCATGTACTGCTGATAGAGGCATAAACTGGTCGAGTCATTCTGGGGAGTAACTGGCAGTCAAATTAAGTACACATCCATCCTATGACCCAACAATCTACACCTGGGAAAATAACCCCAAAGTGACCTTTGCACAAGTCCTTAAGGTTGTGCAATTAGGCTGTTTACCGCCATACTGATTATTATGACTTGACTAGGGCACCAAGTCAACCTCAAAGTTTATCAGTACAGAATGAATCTGTAAACTGTGGTGGATGCATACCATGCACCATGATGTAGCAGTGGGAAGCAATGAACTGGATCCAGGAACGGCAACACAGATGGATCTTTAAAAGACAGCACTGAGTGAGTTTCATGTATGAAACAGAACAAGGTCTAGTGCATAATGCCATTTATGTAACTTAAAAAGAAATTAACACACAAATTAACTCTATTTGTTTTACAAGGAAATGTGAATCAAAAGATACATATCCAACTCATCACAGACTGGCTCAGAAGGTAGGAAAAAGTGGGGAGAGGCAGTGGGAAATGAGGGTAAAGGGAATAAGTAAATACAGACATTCATAAATATACAGACATAAAAAACAAAAGATCAGCTTTCCATGGCCCAACAATGAAAATGTACTTTGAAATGAAGATTATGATTAATCAACCCTTTCCATTTGAGATTCTCCAAAAAAAATAAATAAATAAATAAATAAAATAAAATAAAAGAAGTACAGGAACAAATCAATCATGGCAATCTCTCTGCCGCATGAGATTCCTGGTTTCAAAAACATCTGTCTTTCAGAGCCCTGTGCCTTACAGAGACCTTTCCCGTCTAAGCAAATTGAGACTCTCGACGAGGAGGTGGAAGAGGTCTAAGACAGATGTTTGAAACACTCATCCCCCCGTCAGTCATTTCCAGGTGACTCACAGCTGCATCACTCTCCCTGTCAGTTAGAAGTCACTTGTTCCCAGAGATGTGTCATAGCCCAACAATAGAAAATACATGAGAAAATAAATATTATTAAAGCTAGTGATACTTTTCACCTGGCATCCTAAGGGAGTCAAGGATCTTCTGCAAATAAATGTTAACATAAAAAGAAAGCTGTCCCTTCAAATGCTCAAGCTAATTTTAATCATTTTGCATATAAGTCTTTATTAAAATGTATCACATATTTCCGTGACTTCTGTAACAGAGAATACTGGGGGAAAGCATCATCTTCTTGTTCCATGACTTGAGCATTTCAAAATTTTGAACATCCATTATTTTACCTTCTGTTTTTCCGATATTCTGTCACCTCTCCATGTCCAGTTGCCACTTCTGTTGTAACTGTAGCTACTTCTAAAAATAACCCAACTGTGTCCCTTTCTACTTGGTGGTCTCTGCCTGGGCTGGGAAAACAGACTCTCGGTGGTGTTAAGGACTGGAAATTTAATAGAAGTGATAGGGCTCTGAGTGAGAAACTAAAAAGTAAAATGCACGGCTTTAGACCAGAGTCTTTTGATAGCTACTTCAGATGGCCGAGGGACGCTTTCCTCCTGGATTCTACAGGCTGTGTTACAGAGAGGAAGACTGCACAATACTGATGCCTAGGTATAATAGATACACAGGCTGTTCCCAGCACCCTGGTTTTCTGCCTTCAGGTGGATGAAGCCATAATTAAATTTGTCTCTGGAGATAATGCAACCTGGAATTTGCAGCAAGATAAAAACATTGCTTTTGTTTTAGGATATGAAGTTTCTGCTGTTGGAATTTTTAACTAGTTCATCAATCAGGAATAACCAAAGTAACATAGAGTTTTCTGAATATATCATATTGATGTGTGCATTCATTAGAAACGGGCTCTCCCCCTATCACAGCACTGTCCTGAGATCTTCCCAATTAAAAAACAAACTCCTCATGGGCAAGACTAAATCTTACTTTTTATTGACTGACATACAGTAAATGTTTGGTGAATAAAATCATGAATGAATGAATATATCTGAGATGAATGGGACTGGGTTTTTTTCTAATAGTTTTTGGAGTACAGGTGGCTTTTGGTTACATGGATAAGTTACTTAGTTGTGATTTCTGAGATTTTAGTGTACCCATCATCCAGCAGTATACATGGTACCCAATATGTAGCCTTTTATCCATCCCCCAAATCTTCCCCCACACTGAGACCCCAAAGTTCATTAATATCACTCTTATGCCTTTGAGTCCTCATAGCTTAGCTCCCACTGATAAGTGAGAACATACAATATTTGATTTTCCATTCCTGAGTTACTTCATTTAGAATAATGACCTCCAGCTTCATCCAGGATGCTGCAAAAGGCATTTGTTTGTTTGTTTGTTTCTTTTTATGGCTGAGTAGAATTCCATGGTGTACATATACTACATTTTCTTTATCCACTCGTTGGTCATTGGGCACTTAGGTGGGTTC